CAAAATTCATTTAACAACTGTCTCACTTAGCAACAGAAATGTGGGGCTCAATTATGGTTGTAAGTCGAGGACTACCCGTACTTATTTGGGGTAGCAATTACCAAGACTGGATTTATCTACTCTGAATATGCTGTCACACCTATCCTTGAACAGAATTAAGGAACTTCTATGTAACCTATGTAGGAGCACAAAGGTGGGGTATAAATCAAATAAATAACATTAGTGGCATCATTTGTAGGGGATGGCTGGATTGTTGGTTGACTTGAGATGAGTATTCTTGAGAGTCAGTTTGGTCTACCGGTTAAGGCACCAGGATAGAAAGTGGGAGACTGAGCTCAAGTCCTGCCTTAGCCATGAAAGCCAACTGGGTGACTTTGGGCCAGTCACTCTCTCTCTTCTGAACCCACTTCACAAAGTGGTTGTTGTGGGGAAAACAGGAGGAAGGTGTGTTGGATAATTATTTGCAAAAATAATAAAGACGGGACACAAACAAAAATTAAAAAAAAAGTTTCTAGCCCAGTGGTGGTGAACCTATGGCACGAGTGCCAGAGGCGGTATTCAGAGTCCTCTCTGTGGACACTCGCCCCATCGCCCCAGCCTCACCTCCCCGTGGCCCCCTCACCAACAGCCCCCTCGGAGGAGAGTCACCCCTGAGCACAGCCCATGCGGAGCAGCGCAGCCAAGGACATGGCAGCCGTGCAGCGGCGACAAGATTCTGCCCTCGTGCCCCGTCACACACAGATGATGCTGCAAGGCCCGGGTGGAGGGCATGGCCGCCATGGTGCTGCTGGGCTGCTCGGCAATCTGAAGGCAGTAGAAGGCCCTGTGGATGGACGGGGCCGGGTGGGTGGGATGGGGCAGAGCGAGGCAGGCGGTACCATTTTGGGGGCACTCAGTCTCTAAAAAGTTAGCCATCGCTGTTCTAGCCCCACTCATATATCCCCCTTGTCTTGATTTTCTCTAGCCAAAGTCTGCAGGCCAATCTCCAGGAAACTTGCTCATTGAAAATCTATGCATGAAAGCAGTCAACCAGTCAGTAGGTAAGGAGGCAGTTGGTGCTAAAATACCCCTCTGGCAATCAAGAGTTTTGTGTTTGGTCAAATGGGACTCGCTTACCTCATTGTCAGTTTTAAACATGGGATCGCTGCCAAGCAACTGATCAGGGAAGTTTTGACAAGGCAGCAGAGAAATTAGGAATGGGTAGTCTTTTCTGTTACACGTTTACGACGCAGTCGTACTGTATGCACATTTTTCATACGAGCTTCTGTGCAAAGTTGGCTCATCACCACGACAGTAATGAAGTATAATGGCAAGTGATCGTTTAGGTCAGTGGTTCTCAACCTGTGGGTTGGGATCCCATTTGGGGTTGAATGACCATTTCACGGGGGTCGCCAAACGCAGTCCGCCATTTCCCCCCCCCTTTTCCTTAGCTGTGCTACTCCCTTTTATTCTATTGGCTTTTGAAAGCCAATAGAACAGACTCTCTTGAATAGTCTAATTCTATTGGCTTTCAAAAGCCAATAGGAATTGTCCAGGCTGTCTCTGCCCTGCTGAGCCCGCCAAAAGTCCCATTCTGCAAACGGTGCTGCACCAGTTGAGTAGTCTTCGACTTACGACCGGTTGAGTAGTCCTCACTTACGACCGGTTGAGGGTCGTGGCATTAAAAAGGCTGAGAACCACTGGTTTAGGTCATGGTTTGTACATAAGAGGATCCTAGATTCATTTCTGTGCAATGCTTAAGTAACACGAGAGCAGAAAAACCTCTGCTTCTGATTATGGACAACTGCTATGGGCAAGATGGATCTTCGGATTGGATATGAAATAGTATCCTTTGGAATTGAGCTGTGAGGAGGCCTTTTTAACCGACTTGCCAAAATGCTAGAGAGAGCAGTTTGTGAGAAGATATTAGGAGGAATCTCTGCCACTTTCTCCTACTTAGTTTCATGCATTCATAATCTAAGTTCCATCTTGCTAAGTTTGGTAAAAGATATACCAGTAAGGTTATCAGTATAAAATATTGAGTCCTTAGATCAAAATTTATTTTATTAAGGAATAGCTCACAGCTGTTTCAGCGTAACAGCTTTCTGCAACCTGAGTGCTTTCCACATGCATAGATTTCAGCTCCCAGAATTCTCACAAGTATTCTGGTCTGGCTGGGAAATTTTGAGAGCTGAAGTTCACATGTCTAAAGAACAGACAGGCTGCTGAAGGTTGTACCCATTCTTTGCCCTAGTCATCTTGAGGGAGGAAATACCGTATATTCCGGCGTATAAGACGACTTTTGAGAGCGTTGAAACAGGCGCCGAACTCGGGGGTTGTCTTATATGCCGAGTCGTCTTATACGCCGGAAATAAGGTAGTTTCCGGCGTATAAGACGACTTTCTAGGCATGCGACTCGGCATCAATCGTCTTATACGCCGGAAATACCGGTAGTTTCCGGCATATAAGATGACTTTCTAGGCATGCGACTCGGCGTCGATCGTCTTGCGACTCGGCGTCAAACTCGGGTCATCTTATATGCCGGGTCGCCCTATATGCTGGAATATACGGTATTTGTATGTCAATCTCATTCTTGCCCCAAGCCTTGGGTGTTTTCGGAAGGGAAGAGAAGCTTTTCCTGGAAGTTCTAGCACAGTGTTCCTCAACCTTGGCAACTGGAAGATGTGTAGACTTCAATTCCCAGAATTCCCTAGGCAGCCATGCTGGCTGGAGAATTCTGGGCACTGAAGACTACCCGTCTTGAAGTTGTCAAGGTTGAGAAATACTGCTTTGTTTGCCAGTGCTCAGTGACTTCTCATTTTGTATTGAATTTAATCCTATGTTAGCCATTCAGTGTGACAAGGAAAAGTAAGATCTTCTGGGACACTACACAACCTCTTCATGACCTGTTTTCCTTGTTACCTTCTGGGAGGAGGCTTCGTGGTATCCGAAGCAGAACATCCAGATTCAGCCAGAGTTTCATTCCATACAGCATTAACCTTGCGAACTCTCAAGCTTCCTCCTTCCGTTATATATTCAGGATGGACAGTATTTAATATTTATTTGCTACGTCTATGTAGGGATGCGGGTCTATACATATGTTGTTCATAGTATGTTTAGGTGTGTGTCATGTATGTGTTTTCACTTTGAGAGCGGGCAACTAAATTTCATTTTTGATGTGTGCCATCAGTATAAAAATGACAATAAAGGTTATCTTATCTTAAATAAGATGGTTTGCTTTTACAGGAAGAGCAATTCGGCATCAAAAGGACTTTGCCAGTATTGTGCTTTTAGATCACAGATACACACGTCCAGCTGTTCTCAACAAACTTCCTCAATGGATTAAAAGCAGAACCCTAATCAAGGATAGGTTTGGACCGGCTTTTGCAGAGCTAAGAAAAGTAAGTCCCCAGTTAGACTCCATTTGCAAATTCCTATGAAATGATATCATCCTAGAGAATTCAGACATCAATTAATTAAAGCTAGATTCTTAAGATTTATTTTCCTGCTGTTGAGATGTGCTCATTATTATTTCTATTGACTTTCGTCACTATGTGCCTCATCTAATTCCTAATTTCTGTCTTGCAGTTCCATTGGGAAAAGAAATCCAATTCCACGTCTGTCTCTTTGTGAGGAACTTGGAGATCTATTCAAAGCTGCTACCTCTGCCTATGCAAAATGTCTCCTGTGTATTTAAATGCATTATACTTTTATTGTGTGATCTTAATTTTGAGTATGTTTTTCTTCCAGTCTCTAAAATAGTTTTCTGATCTCACCATGCTAAACTAAATTAAGGCTGGAAAAGGGGTGCTTTCTTCTGTTTATGGTAGAATTGATTTCTCCGCTGAAAAGCTTTGGACAAAAACATCGTTCCCCCCTTATTTCATTCTGCACATCAGTGCCTCTTGGACTTTATTCTGAGGTTATAATATATGCTGTTCGAAGTTCAAGGCAGGTGGTTAATAAGGGTGTGCAAACATTTTGACACTGAACCAGAGCTTGAAGTGATTATTTCAAGCTTAAATTAGCTTGAATTTAATGGTTGAATCCAACCACTCTGAATGAGTTTCACTCGGAAACAGCTATTTCAATTTCAAAATGTTTTCTATGCCACCAGCAGTCATCATTGCTAAAATCTGTGTGTGGGATATAATCGGTTATAGGTTCTCATTTTTTACTGAACCATGAGACATTTCAGTTTTCTCTTTCTTCCTGCCAGCATCAAAACCGGGCTCACTACAAAGGAAAAGGAAAACATCTGCCATGGCAGTGTTTCTCAATCTTGGCCATTGTAAGATGCATGGACTTCAACGCCCAGAATTCCCCAGCCATCAGAGCTGCTGGCTGGAGAATAGTAATAGTTGAAGTCCATGCATGTTACAATGGCCAAGATTGAGAAACACTGCTATATAGTGTATTAAGCAGGAAAGCTAGTGGTAAAGGCATCCCGTTAGCTTTTGAAGCACTACACTTCCATTAATCCCTTCACCCAAGGAATTCTTGGCTTCAGTTTGTTAACTACCCTTAAGCAAAAGCTGTTTAGATAGGTTTACTGTTATTGGTCAAAGTTAGCTTTGGGAGGATTGATGGAAAGGCGCTGCTAAAAAGCCCTTTTTAAAAAGTGCTTTGTAGGCAAATGCTAATTTTAAAAACTTCATCTAAAAGGGCTGGGCCACATTTTAGATGCACAGGCAAAAGGGGATTGAAAAACTGTAAGGTAGATACACGTCTACAACACTTTAAAGCAGTGTTTCTCATCCCCAGTAAGCTTTAAGATGTGTGGACTGGGAATTCTGTGAGTTGAACTTAACTGAGGTTGAGCAACGCTGCTTTAAACCAAAGACCAAAGCATGTTCTAGGAAAAGAGAAAGCTTCAAAGCATCTTTTTTTTTTTTGATCTTTGAATTGCTACACAGCTACATTAGCCAGTCCTTTCCTTCTTTAAATACTTGCTTTTATATTATTATTTTTAGCTTACTTGCATGAGATAGAAGGGGACACACAGTTTCGCAAACCAGAGAGGTATTCTAACATGGTTATAATTGCCCAGAAATCTCACTTAGGTGGATATCCTGAGAAACATTTCTACCGGTGTGCAAAGATACCCAGAACAACTGAACTGCTTAGTATTGTCTTAACACACTGAGTTTCCATCCTGATGCTGAAAACAAATACTATCTTCCACAACGAGTAATTGAAAGTAAGAAGACAGGACAAGGAAGTTAAAGCAAAGTGTGCTTTTTTTGAAAGAGGTTAATACTTTTTCCTATATTCAAGCTAACGATTCATCACTCTGGGTTCCAGTTTTGTCCCCTGAAATGGATTCTTATTGCACACAGATGCGAAAACAGGCTTCTTTCAGGTTTTCATTTAGGGCAGTCAAAGTAAGTAGTTGAATTAAATGATTATTTATATACAATAATTGCACCAAACAGACAAATATCCTTCTTTATAGAGCTGAAAAGGATATGAGTGTTGAAAGAAAATAGAAGCTGTTCCCAGCAGTAGCTGGCTACCCTTTGAAACCTCCCAGTTCCCAGCAAGCTGAGTCTTGCTACAGACGCCAAAATGCCTATAAACTTTTTCACATGCCATGTTCGACCATTTTCTAAGATGGAAACTGGCTGTCATCCCTGAACACAAGTTGCATAGTAGCAGGTTCTTCTAAGTGCGTAATTATGTTCACGTTGCTGTTCTGGATTGGATGGCAAAATGGCAATATGCACTGTTAAGTTAAGCGTTCTCAAAAAGATGGAAATGTCAAAAGAACAAGATGCGCCTCTGTTAAGCCTCCATATGTTGCCTTTTGAAGTACTGTCTAGGACTCCCAGTCATCCTCCTCTTCTCCAGCTGGTTGTTGTGGAGGTGGCAAGGGGGGGATGGTGTCTGAGATGCGGCCAAAGGCTCCAGCTGGCACGTTGGGCGCATTGCTGTCTCCACCAGCTGCTGGTCCTTTGCCTGAGATGCCTGTAGGAGAGAAGACAAAATGGAACATGGCAGGCCTGACAGTCTCATAAAATTGAGTTCAAGCCACTCAAAGTGAAGTTTTCCAATACTTCTTTTATTCTTGCCCAACAAGGCTACTCAAATAACTGTCCAAAAGGCTATTCAGGTTACTATGCCCAACAAGGCTATTCAAAGAAGTGCCCAACAAGGCTACTCAAGTTCCTGTAAGTATTGCTGCCCAACTAGGCTACTCATTTACACCAGTGTTTCCCAAACTTGACAATTTTAAGGCATGTGGACTTCAACTCCCAGAATTCCACAGCCAGCGTTGCTGGCTGTGGAATTCTAGGAGTTGAAGTCCTCATGCCTTAAAATTGTCAAGTTTGGGAAACACTGATTTACACAATACACTCTCAACACAGGTGATCAGGCTGTGTCAGAATGGGCTGGGAAGCAGACTCAGGCATCTCTTGCTCCAACAAGAGTTGTCTTGAACTTTGGGGTGTTGGTTCATTCCAGTCTTCTCTTTATACCCAATTTGTTTACTCAGAATCCATGCACATGGTACATCTTGCCCCAATCACATAAGAAACTTTACATTCTTACTTTATGTTCCAAGACTCCATGAAAAGTGCTATCCACTATACTCCTTACGCCCAATAATGTTCTACTTGGTATCACCAACAATAAATCATTCATGCACACATTCAGAATCTTTCCTTATCAATAGTACACTTTCCAGCAATGTGAGTCACCCAGTGAGTTCATGAAAACGCTAACTATAGTTGTATTACAGGCCCTCTATATTCATAACTTATATTTGTGATGTATTCATAACATATAACATAAAATATGTAACAACATCTAAATCAGTGGTTCTCAACGTTTTTAATGCCGCGACCCCCAACCGGTCGTAAGTCGAGGACTACTCAACCGGTCGTAAGTCGAGGACTACTCAACTGGTGCAGCACCGTTTGCAGAATGGGACTTTTGGCGGGCTCAGCAGGGCAGAGACAGCCTGGACAATTCCTATTGGCTTTTGAAAGCCAATAGAATTAGACTCTATTCAAGAGAGTCTATTCTATTGGCTTTCAAAAGCCAATAGAATAAAAGGGAGTAGCACAGCAAAGGAAAAGGGGAAAAAAATGGCGGACTGCATTGTTTGGTGACCCCCGTGAAATGGTCGTTTGACCCCAAATGGGGTCCCGACCCACAGGTTGAGAACCACTGATCTAAATGATAAGGATGGGGAAGTGCTAGCCCAAGCAAGAAGAACCAAGGCAGAAACACATCTCTTAATTTACTCAGAATTTTGCATCAAAAGAGGCAAATCACAAAAAACAATGGAAGTAAGATGTAAAAGCTGCTAAAGAGGACACTCTACTTAGAACACACATGGAAGCTTAAGTGCAGTGCTTTGAACCCAAAACCCAAAAAGTTCCAGAATCTCTGTGAGTACACCCCCCCACCCCCACCAATGCCTCCTCAAGCTGCATCTTTTCCTGGATTTGTAGGACAGGTATATGGAAATCAGTTGGAACTGAAGAAGCTGTGTGTGTGTAGGTTGTTGTTTTAATTGTTTGTATGACTGGGCAGCAATATAAATTTTCTTAAATAAAGTGCCAAGAACATACAACTTTATTCCACTTAAACCATTATTAACTAAACAATACAAAACACCTTGTATTTTGTCACTGCCTGCTTAACAAATGTTGACTTTCCTGGGATTATGGAGCAAAAAAGGAAAGTTCTAGCACATGCATGCTTATGTCTACTATTTTCTTGCTTTGAATTCAAAGTAGTCAACATTTCTATAAAAACCCAAATCCTATTGTGAAAAGCTTAAGGAGAGAATATTGCCGTGAGTCTTTTTGATTGTTGAATTTTCAGTCCCAGTGGCTCCAATCTGCCGGGCCAAAACTGAGGGATTCTGGGACATACAGTTCAACAAAGTCTTGGGGTAGTCACAGTTTTTTCACATTTGAGGCCTCCTAATCTTACTTGGGCTAAAACTTAAGGAAGATTTATTTTGCTTGATTCTATATGCAATACAGGTAGTCCTTGACTTACAATCATTTGTTTAGTGACCATTTGAAGCTACAAGGGCCATGAAAAAAACTGATTTATGACTGCTTTTCACACTTACAGCCCCACGGTCATGTGCTTGGCAACCGATTCATATTTATGACGGTTGCAATATCCCGAGGTCATGCAATCCCCTTTTGCGACAAGCAAAGACAATAGGGAAGCCATGTTCACTTAACAACCATGTCACTAACTCAACAACTGCACGGATTCACTTAATAGCTGTGGCAAGAAGGGTCACAAAATGGGGCAAAATTCACTTAACTCTCTTGCTTACCGACGGAAGTGTTAGGCTCGATTATAGTTGTTGAGGACTACCTGTCCTCAAAACCTTTCAGCCTTCCTTGTGTGGAATGCATCAATATCTGCTATTTCTCCTCTACAGCATTGTTCCCTTAACCAGGTTAACCAGACCAGATAAACACCTAGAGATGCAGCCACACATGATTAGCTTGTTTATTGCCAGCTTTCATTTTGTGTGTGCGTTTAGTTTTGTATGTTACAATATGTTAATTCACCCCTCTTATTTAGGTAATCGTTTAAATGGCAAACCCTAGAAAATGGGTTCATTCAAAAGAGGTTAAGTGTGTTATGTGAATGGAACTTTTTCGTCTTTTTCGTCAATGGAGCTCTGTCTTGATCCTCTCTGTCTCAAACACAGATAGTTTTTAATTTTAAAAGCATTGGAAAAATCCTGTAAGAAATTCCTAACTTGGTTTTGAATTCTAGTTAGAGTGAAAAGAAAACTTGGTTTTCTGCTAATAGGAAACCTTAGCTTTCCCCGGGGCAACCCTGGAGAGAAACGACAAGAAGCTTCTTTACCTTTGCGCCGGAGGACCAATTTGTTGAAGAGATCTGACATTAGGTCTCCACCTTGCCCAGTAGATCCCACTGGAGGAAACACAAAAAGAGAAATCCGACACAGAAGTCAACAAATGGGAGAAAATGAGGAATCAGCGGGTAAATCCATACACTTGGACTGAAGACTTCACATAGGATTGTTATCCCAATCTGCTCAGATATTAGCTACACTGGGAGAAAACGTCACAGGCATGCTCATAAAATAGTTTCCTGGGGGATGCTCCCCATCATCTCCTCTAGACCAATGATCATTACATTTGATTGAATCACCTTACACAAGAGTTGTAAAAACAAATTGCAAAGGAAATATACATGGTGGGGTGAGTGTGGGGCCTATGCTATTGATTTCATCATAGCATCCGAGTTTTAAAAAACTTAATACCCAATCATGGCCTTGTGCTGTGGGATTATTCTCTAATGGTTTGGTAGAATGTGCACAGAAGACTGGAGACTACCTTATAGAAGGATGATCAAACTGGATGGTCTGTGAAACCAGAGAGGGCAAACCTGCCACTTGTTAGCTTGCCTATGGCTCTTTATTATCTGTCTGTCTGTCTGTCTGTCTGTCTGCCTATCTGTCTGTCTGTCTGTCTGTCTGTCTGTATGTGTGTGTGTATGTGTATCTATCTGTGTATCTATCTATCTATCATCTATCAATCTATCTGTATGTGTGTCTATCTATCTGTGTATCTATTTGTGTATCTATCTATCTATCTATCTATCTATCTATCTATCTGTCTGTCTGTCTGTCTGTATATGTATCTATCTGTATGTGTATCTGTGTATCTATCTAACTGTATCTATCTATCTATCTATCTATCTATCTATCTATCTATCTGTGTATCTATCATCTATCAATCTATCTGTAAGTGTATCTATCTGTATGTGTATCTATGTGTATCTATCTATCTGTGTATCTGTGTATCTGTGTATCTGTATCTATCTATCTATCTATCTATCTATCTATCTATCTATCTATCTATCTATCTATCTATCATCTATCTATCAGTATGTGTATCTATCTGTCTATCTATCTATCTATCTATCTATCTATCTATCTATCTATCTATCTATCTATCTATCTATCTATCTATCTATCTATCTATCTAATTGTCTGCCCATTTTACTACAGCGTAACTTTTCAGCTGATGAAGGGAGCCTGGCTGCAAATAGTATAACAGTGGTGCTGCTAGATGTGACAATGGAGACCCAGGATATAAAGGGTACCAAATGAGCATAAATTTCACACTTTTGGGCATAGTTGTTTTTATTTGTCCAATTTAATCCAGCAGGATAAGCATGCCAGAGTCCCACTGACTAAGGAATGCTGGTTGGCAAGGCCTATGCTGGCTCAGGAATTCTGGGAGTTGGTCCACAAATCATAAAAGACTTAGGCCTGGAGCCCTTACAGATAGCATCTTCTATCTGTCTTAGTTTGTGGACTGTGTTATTTCCTATCATTTTAATTATGTTATTTATGATTGTAATTGTTTTTATTTTTTTTGAATATGTTTGCTACTCTTTGTCGCTTGCTAAAATGGGTGGCTATACAAAAATATTAAAAAATATTTTTAGTAAATAAATACAATGGATTAAGTGAATAAAAATAAAGTAAATAGATGTTCAGGTTGAATCAAGAAAACCAAAGACTGTGCTGTAAAAAAAAGCCAAATAACTTTTGCAAGAAACAGCTCATTTCCTATAACTTTCATGCTTCTGAATATATTTGCCAAACTTATTTTTCCTACTAAAAAAAGTGAGTTTGGGATAGAAACTAGTAATTATCATTATTTAGATAAGCTTGTCTTATACAAATAAAAATCCCCTTGAACCCGTAATTTGGATATCCATCTTCATACTACGTTAGTTTGGTCAGTCTAATTTTTTAAATCCAAATGAAAATAAACGTATGTGTTCTCGCCTCTAAGAATTAACCTGTGATTAAACGGCGTGGAACCCATCACCTTCCAGGTATTATCCAGAGTGTGGGATCCATCATCTCTGATCGTGGGAGGAACTGAAGGGAATCGGAGTTTAATAACCCTTTGAAGCCACAGACTTCTCTGCCATACAGTAATGCGTGCCCACAGTCAAATTATGGGTGAACTCTGAATATAGGGTGTAATGTATCATGCTAGCTACCATTCAAATGTCTGATAAATGTTTCAATGTTTGATTCCCCATGATGCCAGAAAGGTGGCCTATAGAAAGATGGCCCAGAGTGGAAGGATAGAAGATACCTTGCTCCTTCTCCTTCTGCTTTTTCTTTTCTAGTTTCCTCTCTTTGACATTACGGAGCTTGGCCTTCCCGATGCCACCAGCTTTGCGGATGGATTCCATAAGAGTGGCCCGGCCACTCGATGGGTTCACAACTTCATTTGGTGCTCTTTGAACAGCAGCGATAGAAAAGGAAATTAATTGCAGTACCCTTAGGTGCTGATGGCTACAGACAGAGGATGCCTTTCCCCTAAAATCTGCCGTTTTGCTTTTAGAGTTTTATCCTGATAGTCCTCGACTTATAACCACTCATTTAGTGACTGTTCAAAATTACAACGGCCCTGAAAAAAGTGACCTATGACCCTTTTTCACAGGACCCCTGTATCATCCCCATGGCCACGGGATCAAAATTTGGACACCTGAAACCTGGTTCACCTTTATGGCGGTTGCAGCGCCCCGGGGTCAAGGGATCACCTCTTGTGACCTTCTGACAAGGCAAAGTCAATGGGGAAGCCAGATTCACTTAACAATCATGTTATTAATTTAGCAACTGCAGTGATTCACTTCACAACTGTGGCAAGGAAGGTCATGAAATGGGGCAAAACTCACTTAGCACATGTCTTGCTTATCAACAGACGTTTTGGGCTCAACTGTGGTCATAAGTCAAAGACTATCTGTAGTCTGTGAGCCCTCGTCTTTCATCAAGCCATTGTCTATTTTCTCAACTTCTTCCTTGAGTGTTTTAGTTGGTTTCTAATGCCTGCTCTGGAGAAACCTATCCCATGGAATTCTCTACACATAGTATAATGCTCGCCACTCAGTGAACATTATACTCCATTCTCTTAATGCAAGGTTCTTACATTAATGTCCTCTCCTTCTGTGGGAGCTTCAGCTTTCCTAAGTAACAACCAGCATAATTGTTAGCAATTGTTCCCGGGGATGTAGGATCTGGTAATCAACATATGGAAGGCATAAAAGTTTTGGGAAAGCTAAACTAGTGCCTGTTAGCCCTGACAGCAGAATGGAAGCTGCATATTCTGATGACTTATGTGTCTCCAGCCTATCAACTGTCAGATGGAAACATAAGGAGTTGCTTATACACCTTGTGGTTTTCTTAGCTAGTCCCAGCTGGCTGTGCAGAAAAAGAAGCTACTCTAGATCAGGGGTTCTCAACCATGGCAACTTTAAGACTTGTGGACTTCAACTCCCAGCAAAGCTGGCTGAGGAATTCTGGGAATTGAAGTCCACAAGTCTTAAGTTGCCAAGGCTGAGAACCCCTGCTCTAGATGGACCCTGATCTGTTGCAGAAACTTCCACCTTTTTAATGCTTTTTCCAGGAAGGAGATGCCACCCAACTTTCACTGCAACTAACAAAACCTGATATAATGTGCTGACTAATTAGGGTTTAGCCAGGAATCGAAAAGCTATTGGTTTGAATCTCAGTCTTTCACACATCTCCTTCTCTTTTCCGTTCATAATATAATAGGAAAAGAATATCAGTGATTTCTCTTATAGAATGATTGTAAATATAATTAACTAGTTCACGTATCTGCAGCATTTTGAACATTGGCAATGTAACTATACTACAGTGCTGATCCTTCCTCCAAAACTATTGAACAAAAATCACACAGCCAGTTCTTCTGTTTCCTAGGACGTGTTGTCGTCTTCATGGGAAATACATATATTGCACGTGATAGCCGACTGCTCTCTCAATAGTAGCACTGAGTGGTTTCTCAGCTTTAATCCTCCAGTCTTACCGGATGGCAAGGTGCTGCTTCTGCCTTCTCTGGCTTGAGAATCAGTAGGGGCTGGCACTTGTGGAAGAGGGGGGGGAGGTGGGATGTTAACAGGAATTTCAGGGGGAGGGGGTGGAGGGGGAGGGGGAGGAGGGGGAGGTCCCCCCTGTTGAAGATCTAAAACAATAGAGAAGGGACACAAATTAGTATTCACAAATACCATGGAAATGCTCTGCTGATCTCTAGCTATTTGCGACAGTTTTAAAGTTTCAGTTCCTCAAAACTGCATTATTTCAGATCTGTACCTTCATGCTAGAACATCAAAAAATGAAGAAAGTAGCACTGGGTGGTTAATCACCACGGGACTTATTAGCACTCTCCCTAGGAAGTTTACACATTGTGCCAAGCCACCACAAGTTTGATTTGTCTTAATGTAAAGTGAAACTCTAGGCAGCAGGGACTGTAAATCAGTTTATTGCTTAAGTGAATCGTAGACCACAAATACTGCAATACGCCGACACCCTTGAAAGAGTAGAAAATCAACTAACTAAGAAGTGACACAACACAGCCAGGGGCCTTTCAGGCTGTTGAGTTCAACCCCATGCTCGGTACAGAAATCCAGATTAAAGCATTTGTACTAGATGGCTGACCGGCTTTTGCTTCAACACATTCAGTTAACCGTCTCCCTCAATAACTGGTTCCGCTGTCAAACTTATTTCTTATGATTAGGTACCTTTTCCAAGCATTCAGCTAAAATTGCCTTCCTGTCATTTTAAGATTATTATTTTGTGTCTGCTAGGATGATAGATAGTGACTATTTTTCTCTGCAACAGCCCTTCAGAAACTCAGTTGTCTTTATTAGGAGCTAAACAACCAATCCCAATCTTTTGAGAAGGCTTGGTTTTCAGTGCTAAAACCTGTTGCTTTATCAATTTGGAGAAAAGTTTGAATCCTGAAAGACTGGAGCTCTGAATTCAAGGCAGCATTCCAGAGTAGGAATATTACTTTCTTTGATTTGGAGAGTGAACCACTATTAATACAACCAATAACTGTGTTTTTTCTTTTTTGGCAGCAACCTCAAACTACAGACACACTCATACAAATCAAGGAAATGATTTGGCTTTTCAATAAACAAATAGTTTTACAGGTGGTTTATTGTCGGCCAGCTAGATGAATCTCACTGCTGCCTAAGTCTCATTAAAAACAAGAAGGATTACTGTTATCTCCATACTACTATTTGCAGATCTTCACAGGGAGCATAAAAGAAAGCTAGAGATACCTAGGGCCTTATTCTCTAAGCCAGTGTCTACAAGAAACATAGGCTTACTTAAAACGGATCAGTAGTTTGCCAATCTGCTAGAATGGGTGGGGAACTATGACTTGTGGACTTCATCTCCCAGAATTGTGGATTTCAACTCCCATGCTGGATCAAGAATTCTGGGATTTGAAATCCACATGTCATAAAGGGGCCATAGTTCCCCATCTCTGTGCCAGATGATAAAAAGCACAAGGATTCCTAATGTCAAAAGGGAATAAAAAAACCATAACATCTCCCCACCCACAATCAGCACCCAGCTGAGCATAGAGTACCTTCAAAATAAACATTAGACCAACAATCAAATAAACAATACCCCAGTCAAGGAAATGCCAAACAAGTCAACGTTAACAGCCTAACCAAAGAACCAGTAAGACCACCCCAGGTCAGGCCACTAGAATACAAACTGGGAGGAAACAGCACTCCTTACTAGCACTGATGATATTACCTAGTTTGGACAATGAAACATCTGCAAGAAAACAACCAAGCTCAAAGAGCATCAAGGACCTCACAATTCTTACTGATTATGTGAACGTTGTTTTTAGGTGCAAATGCAGGTAACAAGTTTTTATTTCCCCAAGACTTACAGAATCTCCTTGAGCAGAGCATCCAGATGGGATGAAGGCGAGAGTCAGGGCAGGGGTAACATTTGCACAAAAGGGCAGAACTGCCTCGTGACCATTTGATCCCACCCAGCCCTGCTTTTGGGGTTTTTTTTTTTTTTGTAATATATTTTATCGATTTTTTAAAAAACATAAATCACTTAATAATTGGTGCACAGTGTGTTGTCTGGGTTACATTTGCAAAACAATCATTAACCACTGATTTCTATAATCCATAATCCACACAGTTATATATTTAATGGTTATCTCTCAAAACAGTGAGAATTGTATTAACTCAATGTTTGCAAAAGAGGATATTTTGGGGAAAGCGGCCCTGCTTATTTTCCACTGTGCCCTTCAGGAGGGCTTACTACCTTGTCGGAAGTTCTCTGTGGGTTCCGTACTGAAGGTGGGCAGCTCAGGTATAGCAGCCCCAGGAGCAGAAGGTGCAATGCCGGGACCCAGATCTGCACTATACATGAGGTCTGCGGCAATGCCAGGCAAGTCAGGCAGATAGGATGGCACGTCTATCTCGGGCACTTGCCCCAGGTCTGGTACATAGAAATAATTTTCAGCCACCTGAAAAACAGGCACAAAATTAGAAACATCCAGAAATTCGGCTTCCAGAATTAGGTATGACAAGCTCTAAAAATTTTAAATGTGTATGCTAGAACCTTTATTGTACAGGTAGTCCTCAACTAGCCACCATTCAAAACTAGAATGGCATTGAAAAAAGTGACTTACAACCAATTCTTGCACTTATGACTTGCATCCCCGGGGTCATTTGATTAAAATTTGAGAGCTTGGTAGCCAACATGAGTTTATGATAATTGCAGCATCCTGGGCTCATGTGATCATCATTTGCGACTTTCCTAGCTAGCTTCTGACAAGCAAAGTCAATGGGAGAAGCCAAATCTGCTTCATTTCCATGTGATTCACTTAACAATCATAGCAAAAAGGTTGTAAAATCAGGCACGACTCACTTAAGAACCATCTTGCTTAGCAATGGAAATGTTAGTCCCAATGGTGCTAGTAAGTTGAAGAATACTGTACCAATAAATATTAGTAGCTTAGGGTTGAAATTAGGGGGTCCTTGGTGCCCTCTGAGTTTGGCTGTTTTCTTGCAGGCATTTCATTATCCACAGCACTGACGGTCTTACCTAGTTTGAGTAATGAAACATCTGCAAGAAAATAACCAAGCTCCGAGAACACCAAGGACTCCTCATTACTGTGCTGGTGTTCCCAGTATGCTCAGAGGATCCTCCCACATTGAAATCAAAAGTAGGCTTATTGCAAATCATATGGGCTATTGAAAAAAAAAATGTGAGTGTTTTGCCAAGATAGGTTCCCTATCAATTCTTGGGGATTTAGCAAGAGAGAAGCATGGGAATTTTTCTTCTTCTCTCATCCGGCTTAAAGAGCTCACCAGCTGATCGAGTTGTCCCCTCTTGGTGATAGAGAGGGGGGCGTCAAAAAGCTTTTCTTCTCTTTCTGTCTCCAGAGCCCCATGGGTCTTGGTCACTGCGCCAGCCAAAGGATCGAGAAAGACATACTTCTTATATCTGGGGAAGAACAAAAGAAGGAAAAGACAAGCTCATCTATTTACTACAAAGAGAACAAAGCAAAGACTCTTAGGCAGGGAAAATGTATTTTCTTCCATTATCAGTGTTTGCCATCCTTTTTACAGGCTCTCAAGTTAGATACAATGCTGGACTAACTTCCTGCCCACAGGGATTTCCATCTACCAAACAGAGGCAGTCCCGACCTAGGTCTGCCCCAATCGATCCTGGGTTATTTACCATAAAAACATGGGAGAAATACAATGTATTTTAAAAGCCCTGCAGACGCATATATATATATTTACTTTGCTCGTGTTTTGAGACTGTCATACAGACTTTAATAAAGAAAAACTGAAGCGGACAGTTTATCCAAGGGACCAAGGCAGAGGCACAAGCCTAAAATCTAGTTCACATTTAATTAGTTATATCACCGGGGTTCGTAGAGAAAGGGGCAAAAGCAATATTTTGAGAAGGCTACAAAATTAAAGAGGGATTTGCAAGAGTGGGAATAAACTTATCAACCTGTCAGTTTCTCTCCACTTAATGTAATCAGTTCTGCATCAGCTTTGACTTTTCTCCTTTTCTGCAACTCAAGACCGTAATCACTTCCTTGTGTGCAACTACTGTTTTATAAACATGACTTTGTTTAATGATAACAAAAATAGTCACAGGAAAGTGCAATAAAAAAGGAGGAATGAGGCTGGAGAAAAAGATGGACAAAGCAGAAAAGCATCAACGGGATTTAAGGTTGATGCTGAGAAATAAGGATGAGGACTGGAAACCTGACTTCAAGGTGGTAAAATTAAAGCAGAGGAGGACTGGGAGATGCTTTAAAACAATACCACCACACCTATTTGGTCACTCAGGGCTAACATAAAAATAAGCAGTGGCATGATAGCAGTGTTCCAGTATCTCAGGGGCTGCCACAAAGAAGAGGGAGTCAACCTATTCTCCAAGGTGCCTGAAGGCAGGACAAGAAGCAACGGATGGAAACTAATCAAGGAGAGAAGCAACCTAGAACTAAGGAGAAACTTCCTGACAGTTAGAACAATTAACCAGTGGAACAACCTGCCTCCAGAAGCTGACAATGCTCCAACACTGGAGGTTTTTAAGAGACTGGACAGCCAGATATAGGGTTTCCTGCCTGAGCAGGGGGTTGGACTAGATGACCTCCAAGGTCCCTTCCAACTTTTTTATTATTATTATTATTATCGATCATCGCACAGTCAGCCAGATGTTCTGACTGGATTTGGCATTTTGTCTACCTATCGAGTCCTTACCCAGGACCTGGGATAGGCAGATGTGGATGTTTGATGGTATTACAGATATCGTCGCAGGATGGAAGCAGTTCCTAGTAAGGCCGCCTTTTGCAATTGACTAATAGCGAATTTGTCAATGCCAATGGTGTTCAAGTGGTGCTCCAGTTGTTTTGGGATTGCACTCAAGGAGCCTATGACTATTGGTACTACCCTTGCTTGTTTTTGCCACAGTCTTTCTATTTCTATTTGTAGGTCTTTGTATTTTGTTATCTTCTCCAGTTCTTTCTCTTCTATTCTGCTGTTTCCAGGCACTGCCACATCCACTATCCAGACTTTTTTGTCTTTCTTATCAACAATTGTTAAGTCTGGGGTGTTATGTTGCAGGTGCTAGTCTGTTTGAATTCTGAAGTCCCAGAGCAGTTTAATTTTATCATTTTCTATGACTTTCTCTATTTTATGATCCCACCAGTTTTTGCTTGCAGGCAAATGATATTTTTTGCAGATCTTCCAATGCACCATTGTTGCTACTTTGTCATGCCGCTGCTTGTAATCAGTTTGTGCAATCTTCTTGCAACAGCTTACCAAGTGGTCCACTGTTTCTTCAGCTTCTTTGCATAGGCGGCACTTACTGTCTGTTGCTGTCTTCTCAATTTTGACTTTGTATGCATTTGTCCTTAAGGCTTGGTCTTGTGCAGCTAGAATTAGTCCCTCGGTCTCTTTCTTCAATTTTCCTGCTCTTAGCCATTGCCAGGTTTTATTATTATCTGCTTTCCCAGCTATTTTTTTCATGTATTGGCCATGTAGTGCTTTGTCTTCCCATGCCTCTATTCTGTTCTTCATTGGTCTTTCTTGTAGGCCAGTTTGGTCTCTCCAGTAGTCAGTAAGCCTTCCTGATATACTAATTTCAGTGCATCTTCATCATTGTTCTTCAGATATTCTTCCAAAGCCATTTTTTCTTCTTCAACCATCTGATGTACTTGTAGCATTCCACGCCCACCTATTTGCCTTGGTAGGTAAAGTCTATCAATGTCACTATTATTATTATTATTATTATAAAAATGGGTTCAGGACCACATTCCTAGGACTGTCTTACTCTTTAATCAGCTGAGGGGTGTTCCTGAGGCTATTTCTTATTTTAGGCCCATTAATCCTATCTGAAGGCTTAAGGCAATTTACAGGTAGTCCTTGACTTATGACCACAGTTGAGCCCAAAGTTTCTGCTGCTAAGTGTGACCGTTGTTAAGTGAGATTTGTTGCATTTCACGACCTTTCTCGCCACAGTGGTTAGGTGAATCACTGCAGTTGTTAAGTTAGTAACGTTAGTGTCAACGCTGCTAATATTGAATATTCTTGCCTTGACAATATATGCAGAACTGTCTGGTATTTTTAGAGTTAACTCAGTTGACAGTGAAAGGGGAGGAGAATATAAGGAAAGCGGGGGGGGGGGGAGAAAGGAAGTGAATCTTTGCCCTCCAAGTTAATTGGAAGATGTGAATCATGACCCCAAAATAGGGGAGGGGAAATGCCTGGAATGTTATGTGCAAAGGAAGGGAAATTCAGATCTTAGCATGGTGTCATGTGGTCTGATTAACGAAACACTTCAAAGGCTTTTTAGGCTAAAAAAATGCCTGAAAGTTCTTTGAAGTGTTTCGTTAATCAGACACATGACAGTTAGTTAAGTTAGTTAAGTAAGTTCGTAAAGTTAGTTAAGTGAATCTGGCTTCCCCATTGACTTTGCCTGTCAGAAGGTCGCAAAAGCGGATCACAGGACCCCAGGACCCTGTGACCGCCCTAAATATGAAGCCGTTGCCAAGCATCCCAATTTTGATCACGACGCCATGGGGATGCTGCAACGGTCGTAAGTTTGAAAAACGGTCATAAGTCACTTTTTTATAACTTCGGATGGTCACTCAATGAACGGTTGTAAATGGAGGACTACCTATATTTGCTTAACTTACTGCCAGACACCAATGCTGGCTTTTGGGTGGCACAATCAAGGGAACCCTGGGGAACTCAAAAGGATGGGGCCGTCACGTTCAACCTTATGGATTCCCGCCCTCTCCCTAGGAATCCTTTCCCTGTTGAGGGAAGAGGAAGGCGGAGAACTACGGAGGACACTTACAAGTTCTCGGTGGTATTGAAGAGCAGCAGGGAGCTGAGGGAGCTAATGTTTCTGGGAAGGCTGCCCAGGCCTTCTTCTGCGTCGTCTTCATGACGGACTCTGGTGGTAACTGAAACCGGGAAGTACTTCAACTTCTCCTGCAAAATTCAAGCCACACAGCTGTCAACATCCCAGCAGCCTTTTACTTCGGTTGTTGTGATTAGGCCAGGGGTAGGCCACCTTGGCTCTTTTATGATCCGTGGACTTCAACTCCCAGAATTCCTGAGCCAGCCATGCTGAGGAGAAATGGGGAGGTTTCCAAGCTGAGCCATGCTGTCTCAGGAATTCTGGGAGTTGAAGTCCGCAAGTCATGAAGGGAGCCAAGGTTGCCTACCCCTGGGTTAGCCTGAACCAGACATACCTGTCAACATCCCAGCAGCCCTTTAATTCGGTTGTTTTGATTAGGCCAGGGGTAGGCCACCTTGGCTCTTTTATGACCCGTGGACTTCAACTCCCAGAATTCCTGAGCTTGGCTGGCTCAGGAATTCTGGGAGTTGAAGTCCACGGGTCATAAAAGAGCCAAGGTGGCCTACCCCTGGATTAGGGGTTTAAAAAAACCTAAAGCTACCAAGGCCCCTCAGACTCACAGGCCTCTTTCTTTCAATGCCCATCACTTTCCTGCTGCTGGCTGTCACCTGTAGGATGGGGAAAGGTCAGTATAATGACATCTCATGGCTTTGTTGTAATATCAGACTTAATAAATGAGAGGGAGGGACTGGGGTTCAAAAAGCAGCACATACACAAACAGCATGCCAACTTCTTTGTCAGTCCAACTTGAAATGTAGGTTAGAATTCAGGCAACTAATTCCTGCATTTGTGGTTCTGGTTCCCATACGTTACTGGAAATCAGTTTGCTGCAATCCAACTTTTGCCCCTTACTACACACTATCCAACTCCTGTAGTCTCTTTTCCAAACTGACTGCTCTCACCTTATCACGCACCTGTACAGTCTCTGTTTAGCCCAGGGGTAGGCAATCTTGGCTCTTTTATGACGTGGACTTCAACTCCCAGAATTCCTGAGCCAGCCATGCTGAGGAGAAATGGAGAGGTTTCCAAGCTGAGCCATGCTGGTTCAGGAATTCTGGGAGTTGAAGTCCGCAAGTCATGAAGGGAGCCAAGGTTGCCTATCCCCTGGGCTAGCCTGAACCAGGTATTTTAGGAAGCCTGAAGTCCTAGAGAGTCACTATCAAATGTAAACAATATTGAGGTGAGTAGATTAATATTAAAATAAAAAAAATCTTAGTGTATTTACAAGAGGTGAAGTATTTTCATGAAGTATTTTCAAAGTGTTTTGTGGTCTGGGGACATGTGACATCTCTAAAACTCTTGTTATCTTAATAGGAGTGATCTCAACCGATGGATGGGTTAAAAAAATATATATCACAAAAAATAAAGTAACTGCTTGTAAACAACTTGTAGCGTTCAGAGGATGCTTTTACTCATTTGTTCCTAATATGCAGAAAAAAAATGCCTAAAAGTAAAAAAACTGCAAATTACCCAAAAATATAATTCTTCAAGTTATATTTTTTTGATGCAGGCCTTAAAAATGCACTTTTTTTTCTGATGTAAGCTCTCCTTTTAGACATAATTAACTGCTGCACTGTACAACATATAACTTTCGGTAGCCAACTTTATTTCCATATGTGTACTTTCAGCAGTTTTTTCAAGGAAGGAAAATTAATCTTAGCTGATTTTTCTCTACTGCAAAGCCAGACGGGGAAAAAAAAAAGCCCAAATCTGCTTCCAGGGAACAATTTCCAACTTTAGCAGTTTTCAGATGGGTGACTTTGGACTTTCAGAATTCCCCAGCAAGCATGATGGGAATTCTGGGAGTTAAAGTGCACATATCTTGAAGATGTTCAAGGTTGAGAAACACTATTGTAGATAAAAGGACAGTGTATTTGATCAATGTGTAGGTCAAGTTTCAAGTAGAAAAGAAGGGAAAAGCTATTTTGGGTGGACTCTAAAGCTCTCTGCATATCTTGTACATTAGTGCACTGAGTTCCGAGGCTAGGCTGAAATATTCATGCTACTTTTACCCCGACTGATTTTGCTTCCATTAAACTACAGAAAAATGCAAAGTGCTGAATTATTCAACAGCAGCTTATTTGGGGGGTTTTGAGAAAGAAAACAGAATGTGAGCCTGAAGCAGCTTCATTGCCTTTGTCTGGTAGGACAGCTTTTCCCTCTGCATTAGGATCCAGATGTATACATCAGTGGTATCCCAAGAAATTAACATCATAAAATAAATTCTCTGGGGGATGGAATGTGTCCTTGGAGAACTGTTAAAAGAAAACAAAAATCTCTACAGTATTAGTTGCTCTTCTTTGTTGTTGCCTGTCCTATGCAGTTACAGGAGACTCCCAAATATTGGAAAAACTGCCAGCTTAATTTTAACTCATCCGTTCAGAAGAATGCACTCAGGACTTAGGCAGAGTCCAACCCAGAAACTACAATTTTATTTATGGAAGTTCAGTGTCTGGAACAAAGACTGTACAAAAATGAAGCACTAATTCGGAGCCACTAATAACCAGAGATGCACAAAACAAAACCACAAACAACTTCCTGCTATGGAAGATTTATTTCTGGAAAACCCGTTGAACACCCCAAAAATGACTAGATCAGAGGAAGGCCCAGAGGAAAAATGGAATATTCCAAAATTTACCAAAAGATTTTACATACTCATTAATAAATATCTAAAAAATCCTACACTTTCAAAAAATAGAGCCTGAAAAGGCTCTAGACCAGTGGTTCTCAACTTGTGGGTCGGGACCCCATTTGGGGTCGAACGACCATTTCACGGGGGTCGCCAAACAACGCAGTCTGCCATTTTTCCCCCCTTTTCCTTAGCTGTGCTACTCCCTTTTATTCTATTGGCTTTTGAAAGCCAACAGAATAGACTCTCTTGAATAGAGTCTAATTCTATTGGCTTTCAAAAGCCAATAGGAATTGTCCAGGCTGTCTCTGCCCTGCTGAGCCCGCCAAAAGTCCCATTCTGCAAACGGTGCTGCACCAGTTGAGTAGTCCTCGACTTACGATCGGTTGGGGGTCGCGGCATTAAAAAGGTTGAGAACCACTGCTCTAGACTACAGGCAGAAAAGAGCAGGCCATAGCAAAGGGAAATGGGAACTTCCCCATCACTCCTTTCTCCACTCATACAGACACTGACTAGATCAGAAAACATAATTCAGGTGATTTGACACTCTGACCACCACACTGTGTCCTAAGCTTTTATAAAAAATGGAAAAAACCAATAAAACTTTTATTTTTTTAAAAAAGAAAGAAAACATAATTCAGGGATGCAATTTATCCCACACGTCTCAATGATACAATCAGTGAACACAAAAGATAGTTTGTGTGTACAATATACAAACAGAAGATTAGTTATAAGAGCCCTGGTGGTGCAGAGGGTAGAATGCAGTACTGCAGGCTGACTCTGCCCACAGTCTGGAGTTCGATCCTGACCAGTTCAAGGTTGATTTAGCCTTCCATCCTCCTGAGGTAAGTAAAATGAGGATCCAGATTGTTGGGGGCAATAGGCTGACTCTGTAAACGGCCTAGAGAGGGCTGTAAAGCACTATGTATATAAGTGCTATTGCTATTATTTATTTACTTATTTATGCATATGACTGAATACTGTACAGTCATAAAAGTGCAAGGGAGTCATTTAAAAAATATTTTCACAGAATCCTTTAGGGGCTACAGAATAGTCCAAAAAGATTCTTATATAAAGAAGGTCTTTTTTTTCTAATCCACGCAATACTTTTGCTGCCTGGGACCTCTTCAGGCAATTCCTGCCCTGATTCAGGACTTTGCTGTCTGGCGCCATCAAAAACCCAAAGCAAAGAGAAGCCTCTTGAGTAAAGAAATGTGACCGTGTCCTCTGACTTCTCTTTGACTATCCTTACCTGTAAGGACTTCTCATCCAATGGTCTGTGCTTGCTCTGAATCTTGTGCCTCGGTTGTTTCTGTGCCTCTGGATCCTGAGCGCCAGTGAAGATGGAAGCATATTCTTGCAGCCGTTCTGGTGCAGGGTATTTGGAGCTGGAAAACACCTAGGAGAAAAAAAAATAGGAGGAGAGAATGGAAGAAAAGAAAGTAGGTTGCCAGCACACAATCAAGACAGTCTGGTGGCTTTTAACAGAAAAAGAAACATACATAGTTAATGTGCTAATACAGACATAGCAACTATGAACCATCTCAGAATTTGATTCCTTACCTACAAAATAATCTACAAGACTCTGATACAGGTAGTCCTAGACTTAAGACCACAATTGAGCCCAAAATTTCCATTGCTATGTAAGACAGTTTTTAATTGAGTTTTGCCCCATTTTATGATATTTTTGCCACAGTTAAGTGAATCACTGCACTTGTTAAGTGAATCTGGCTTCCCCCATTGATTTTGCTTGTTGGAAACCGACTGGGAAGATTACAAATGGTGATCCCAGGACAGTGCTGCTGTCATAAACGCGTACCAGTTGCCAAGTGTCCGAATTTTGATCAAGAGACCATGGGGATGCTGCAACAGTCATGTGAAAAACAGTCACTTTTTCAGTGCTGTTGTAACTTCAAATGGTCACTAAACAAATTGTTGTAAGTTGAGGACTACCTATACAGGGCAAATGCGACCTAAGTATTTGTATGGATAGACATAAGTATTAGTATGAATGAATTACAACTGGGGGCAACTATGATGCCAGCTAGAGTGGTAGGATTCAGTTCCAAGTTCTGTCTCAATTTACTACCAGTTTGTTAACTGCACTGGGCAAGCCAGTCTCTGGCTTAACATTCCAGACGTTTGCTAGTATAATATCTGGATGCTTGTAATAATGCTTAAAAAATACTGCTGAGAGACAAAGAGGCTATGGAGTATAACAAAACAGTGGAAATAAACAGACTTACTACCCAATCCCCAAACTAGATCATGGCTATTATAGAAGGCAACAGATTAGAGCACCTTCTTTCCTTAATAACCAAGATATTGATTACTACTGCAACCACTTTGTAGTTTGCATTTTTTTTAAAAAAAAAAACCATTCATGCAATTGGGGACTGTGTGGCTGCTGTTACTGGAAGCTTGGCCTTTAACCACAGATTAATGGAAGAAACACCATTCAAAAGAACTATTGCAATAGGCATCCAAACCTTAATAGCCTTTTTGCTGCCCTTTATCTTCTCAATTTTGGCTTGAGCAAGGGTGACCCGCTCATTGATTGCTCGTAGCTGTGCTCGGCTGACTTCCACTTGTTGGGAGATCCTAAAAATCAATCAATCAATCAATCAATTTAAAGCAGCATTTAACAAAAGAGCAACAAGAAAGAGTTCACTGGTTGGTATACAGATTAAGTAAAACAATGTCTTTCCAATAAAATAGCTATCATTTAAACACCATCAATTGCCTTCTTTCCCCTGATAAGACCAAACAAGACAAAGGTTGCTGTAATTTTCCAATAAGCTCATCAAATAGCAGTAGCATTGAAGCTTATATACCACCCCATAGCAGTTCTGGGCGATTTATAATGTAGAAGCATTATTTTCATATTGCCGCCAACATTCTGGGTCCTCATTTTACCGATCTCAGAAGGATGGAAGTCAACCTTCAGCTCCATCAGGATCGAACTCGAGGCAGTGAGCAGAGTCAGCCTGCAATACTGCTATCAAGGTTGAATTGCTAAGATGCATGCTAACTTCTAGTGCTACTCAACTCGCCACAGAAACAGGAGGAGAGGGGTAGAAAGCATGGGGAGGAAATAGGATTCTAAGAAGCCATCCATGGACTGTGAGAGCCTACAAGAATGCCAAGGTCACTAATGCAGGTGGAGAAGTGGACTGTTCCCATAACAAACCAAAGATATATGATTGGGCAATGTGAACATCTGGTGGGTGGGGGTTAAGAAAAGCTATTGTTAACTAGGCAAAATTTCGTGTGGGAAAACCAGAGCTGGTTTTGCTTCTTTAGTTCTGAGATGTGAAGCAAAAAACAACAACACCCAACTCTCAGGAATGGGTGTTCAGGTTTGAGAGAAAAGAAGAAAGAAACTGGATTCAATTTGTAAGTCAGATGCAAATAGAGTTAAGGCTATAGAACTGCTTCCTTTTGCAACAAACTATTTCTTCTACATTACGTTGTCTTCATCCCAATTTCATCCATTTGACTTTCTTGTCAGCTCCACAAAATCTTGGAGCAAGAAGCCCTTACCAAGCTTTCCTTACCCTCCCTTTAACCTTATACATAGTTTCTAAGACTACTAGTAAGAACAGCTCAGAAGCTGTGGTAAATGTAGCAACCTGGCTTCAAGCAGTGAAGAGTTGGCTGAGTAACATCATGCCAGTGTTTTAGTTGCTACCAAAAAGCTCTGGGTCCAATTTAAGGTGTTGGTTTTAATTATTGTACCAGCATTGAAATTCTGAGGTCGTTCCCTTGCTGATCTAATCTCTTGTGTATTTTATGTTTTTAAATTGTAATTAGTTTTAAATTAATTTTAATTTTTAAAAACTTTAATTAGATATCTCTCCAAGGTAAGGAAAACTCTAACTCAGCCTTCCCTATGTGCTCATCTCAAGAGGAATGGCAGCATTCCTCATGAAGGAGGGATATTCTACTTTCCAATCCTCATGAAGTAGGGGTATCAGTTCTACACAGTAGAAGGCCTTGTCTACTTATTTCCCTTTTATTACATGGTTAAAACCACTATGTTCTAGTGAATCTTTGGGGTAGTGGATCTGGGTACCACTAGAACTTTTTGGTAGTGTTTGGTGATTACTGTTTGTTTGCCTCCAACACTGGAAGCTTTTAAGGAGAGAGCGGACAATTCTTTGTCTGAAATTGTGTACGGTCTCCTGCCTGAGCAGGGGCTTGAGCTAGAACAGTGGTTCTCAACTTGTGGGTCGGGACCCCATTTGGGGTCGAACGACCATTTCACGGGGGTCGCCAAACAACACAATCTGCCATTTCCCCCCCTTTTCCTTGGCTGTGCTACTCCTTTTTATTCTATTGGCTTTTGAAAGCCAATAGAATAGACTCTCTTGAATAGAGTCTAAATTCTGTTGGCTTTCAAAAGCCAATAGGAATTGTCCAGGCTGTCTCTGCCCTGCTGAGCCCGCCAAAAGTCCCATTCTGCAAACGGTGCTGCACCAGTTGAGTAATCCTCAACTTACGATCGGTTGAGTAGTCCTCGACTTACGACCGGTTGGGGGTCGCAGCATTAAAAAGGTTGAGAACCACTGAGCTAGAAGAAGAAGCTTACTGTACATTTCTACAATTCTGTTTTCCCTTCATCATTATGGGGTAGTGAGTGTAAGTTAATGAGGAAAAAAATGAATTTCAACAACTGTAGAATTAGGCTGCAGCATAACAAAACTGACAAAGCCGAAGGGGGTCTAAATATTTTCTGAATGCACTTAACATAAGCATATATATAAAACAATAGATAAATAAAATATGAGGCGATATACTGTGTATGATTGTCAAGTGACTAATACAGATCTGACTGGCCAAGGAAAGTCTTTCAAAAAGTAAATAATTATTATATCCAGAACAGAGAGCCAGTGTGGTGTAGGGGTTAAGGCACTGGGCCAGAAATCAGATGAGTGTGTTTTACTTCCATTTCAGGCACAAAGCCAGCTGGGTGACCTTGGGCCAGTCATTCTCTCTGGGCTCTAGGAAGGGGGTAATGGCAAACCACTTCCAAAATCTTGCCAAGAAGTCTGCAGGGATAAATCCAGACAGTTGTCAAGGAGTCAACACTGACTCAAAGGCACAATCAATCAATAACCCAGAATAGTCATCATGCAAATGAAATGTCCCCAAAAAGAAAACCATAAAAGTATTCATTTACACATTTGAGCATATTTGTATGTAATATTTAACAAATACCTGTAAATAATTTAACATCTTCTTTTTAACAAGAAAAAAAGTTCCTTGTTAAGCCGGCTAGAACAGATGAAACCATCTTCTCTCCAAATAAAATCCAGCCTAAAATACTAGCCTTACAAATGAAACCACGTCAGGTTTCTCTGAATTATTAAAGCTGAGGTTGGAAACAAAGAACCGTTATAATCCTTCACACTAAGCCAATGAAAGAGTGATTGATATTTGCAGAAGACAGATTAATGTCCTCCCCTTCCCCAATTTTGCAAAATAAATGTATTGAAATTAAAGGACAGAAACAATGTGCTGATGAAGGGGGACACCAATCATATTCACTGACAGTCAGCCTCTGTTGCAGAAAACCAGCATTTAGATCAGGCAGTCCTGATTCATTATTTTTCCAGCTTCAAGGATTCTAGGCTGAATGTGAAAAAAAAAAAAGTGCTGTTACAACCTGGAGAGTAATTTACAGGATTGTCAGTATTTTATTTATTTATTAATCCAATTTACATGGTCACCCATCTATCATGTTGAACTAAATAAAAACAAGAGATTCCTAAAGAAATTCAAATAGAACTATATCAAGCCTCTCAAAATCAGATACACATAGCCATGCCAGAGCCCCATACTAACATCCTGACCCAGACCTTGGGGGAAGAACCAGATCTTCACAGCCTTGGAAAGGGCCAACAGAATAGGGGTCACATATATTTTGGGGAAGAGACTGATACGTAGGGCAGGTGCCATGACAGAGAAGAGTCAAATGGTGTTGTTTGGAACCTGGAACATGTCCTCTCTGCCAGATCTGGTAGGATGGGTGGAAGCCACAGAAAAAGATGGTCCCTGTCCTGGTACCCTGTCCTGTGGTCTTTAAAATGACAAACAGCACCATCAATTGTGCTGGGAGACAGTGTAACTCATGTAGTCATGATGTGGATGTACCATGTGATGCCTCATACTGCACACACCACTACATTCTGGACCAGCTGAAGCTTCTGAAAGCTCTTCAAGGTTAGTTCCAGTATTTTGAATAATTTTTTATCTCAATTTTATTTTTGGTCAATTCCAGGTAGTACTTAATACAGTAATATATGTAATATAATGTATGCATGCCTCCTATTTTCCCTACAACAATCCTTTGAAGTAAGTTGAGCTAGCCCAGTCATCCAGCTGGCTTTAATGATTGAGGGTGAACTGGGGCTCATGATTTCCCAGTTAATAGTCCAGCATTTAGCCACTACACCATACTAGCTCCAATATAAGGAAGATGTTTATTCACAAATTGTCTCCAAGTATTTAGGACCATAGCATACACCATATCTAAATTTTCAGTACCCTGGACAGAACTGATGCATATTGATGACTAAAACATTTAGAGCAGTGGTTCTCAACCTTTTTAATGTTGCGACCCCCAACCGGTCGTAAGTTGAGGACTACTCAACCGGTCGTAAGTCGAGGACTACTCATCTGGTGCAGCACCGTTTGCAGAATGGGACTTTTGGCGGGCTCAGCAGGGCAGAGACAGCCTGGACAATTCCTATTGGCTTTTGAAAGCCAATAGAATTAGACTCTATTCAAGAGAGTCTATTCTATTGGCTTTCAAAAGCCAACAGAATAAAAGGGAGTAGCACAGCTAAGGAAAAGGGGGAAAAAATGGCGGACTGCGTTGTTTGGCGACCCCCGTGAAATGGTCGTTCGACCCCAAATGGGGTCCCGACCCACAAGTTGAGAACCACTGATTTAGAGGGATTGGGCACAGAGGAAAGTGGATACCTCACTTAATGAACTACAGATAATCCTTGACTTATGACTACAATTGAGCCCAATATTTCTGCTGCTAAATGAGACGCTTGTTAAATGAATTTTGCCCCATTTTACAACCTTTCTTGCCGCATTTGTTAAGTGAATTACTGCAGTCGTTATGTTAGTAAAACGGTTGTTAAGTGAATCTGGCTTCCCCATTAACTTTGCTAGTCAGAAAGTTGCAAATGGTAATGCCAGGATCCCAGGACAGTGCAACCGTCAAAAATATGAGTCAGCTACCAAGTGTGACCATGGGGAGGCTGCAACGGTCATGAGTGTGAAAACCAATCATAAGTTACTTTTTCCAGTGCTGTTGTAACTTTGAACGGTCACTAAATGAATGGTTGTAAGTTGAAGACTACCTGTTATCAGATTCACTTCTCTTCAGTCATGAAGCTCATATGGGATCAATCATAGTTTCTTAGCCTCAGGTAATGAACTCCAACTAAAAGAAAGGGAGGTGGCAAGTATTTTCTTTTTGATTTAATTTATTCTCCAACTTTCTGCTTATACGAGCACTCATGATAGCATATAGCAATTAAAAAATGTTGACTGAAAAACAGAATAAGCTCATTACAATCAAA